GTGGTAGCACTTGAATGTTCTAAAATACTTCTTATGGGCTTCCTAGGAGCTTTAAAATCTCGGAAATTTTAAAGCTTTCAGAAATAGCTAGAGTCTGGATTTTTGATCTGGACGTTGAGAGATTTTTGGTCGCGTTTTCTCGCTGATACGATTTTTCGCGTGAACATTTTTTCTTTGGTTGCGCGCATATATGGTTCGACGAGATATGTCGGCTCCGGATAGTCGGATTTATCATATATTCTTCTGGATTGGTATTCATCTATAAGTTTAAGAGAGACAAGTGAAGAAGAAATTTTGGGTCGCGGAAAAAAATTGCTAATATATGTTTTTCTTTTTGGTTGTCTGAGGTCTTGGAATATCCCGGCGGAATTCGATGGGATTCATTTTTCTTTGCTTATATGCGCGTCTGGTCGGGGAAAACAAGAATTCATTGCGTCTATCTACGGACATTTATCTACTCCTCCGAATTGCCGCATAATAGATAACTAAGAGAGATAAATGAACAGAAAAAACATAATTTTGGATTGCGTAAGTAAAAATCTTTCCAAGATTTCGAATTATTTCTTTCTCTTTGGTTATTTATAAGCCACTCGGCGGCATATATAGATCCGAGATAGAAAACTAAAATCTTTTAGATTCTATAAACTAGCAATCTTTGGATCAACGAAAAATATTCATAGATAATAAGAATATCATTTGCTATATTAGGCTCTTCTAGAATGATCTGATGATCAAGATAGCAACTACTATACGGTGTTTCGTCATGAAATATCCAGAGATAAGAAACCTAGCTCTATCCGCCAGGTAACCAGAGCTATGGCACGATTCGGATTTCAAATTGAAATTAGATCTTCATGCGTCCCTGTAAGATTATGTGTATATATATAAGTATGTAAGTAGGCCGCATCAGATTGCCTGGAAAAAATCGATAGATTCTCAAATATTTTTTCTAAATTTTTGGAGTCTAATTTATAAAATCGCCTTTCAGGAATGCCTCGAGATGGATACTTGCTTTTTGCAGGAGCTATTTGACAGATATGACAATATCCCTAAATATGCAATTCCCTCAATTGCTATTAGCCTATTATTCCTCAATTTTAAAAGATATCGACGTTTATTCAGGATTCGGGATATCAAATTACAAGGGCGTAGGATTTGGAATTCTGCCCATTACGAATATATTCTAATGACGATGCTCCGCTGCCATAAGCAGCGGGGCCATTCTAGTAATTTTAGAATTTTTCGAATACGATTTTAGATTTTTCTTCTTAAATTGATTTCTCACTATTTTATGATAGGTTTCTTATCTATCTTAAATCCGTCGAATTCTATGATAAAATATATTGGATTATAGGATATTTTGAGAATTCTATTTAGATTTGGGATCGAGATTATTTTGATTAATTTTTGATATAGGAATATTAATATATTTCAATCATTCGCTAAAATTATTGCGTTCGCGTGCGGCTTAGCTTTTCTGATTCATTTTTAAAACGTATCTTGTGGATTTCCTAGGGATTCTAAAATCTCGATATTTTAGGACTCTTTGGAAAGGCTACAGGCTCTAGAATCTTCGAATTTTTTGGCGCGAGTGACGCGTCCAAAAAGCTCGGAGATTTTTGGTCGCGCGGCCCTTGCCGCCTCCGGAGCGATTTTCCGCGTGATTTATCTCTCTGTAGCTGTCTGCTCGGCGAAGCACCTAGACCTTAATTTATAGATTGGTCGTATCTATCTATGGGCTGTACGCGTTCTTCCGAGCCGTTGCGCAGATAATCCAAGAAAAATAAATGAGATAGGATCGGGTCGGATACGAGAAATACGCGACCAAATATCTCCCGAGATTTCGATCTCTCTCTCTCTTCTCCGGCATGCGGACGCAAAATCCCCGATATTTCGATCTCTTTGGTTATCTGCGCGGCGATTCGGCAGAACGTGAAGATCCAGGGCGGAGATCTAAAATCTTTCAGAATCTATATGCTGGTCGTTTTTCTCGCGTATCATCTTGAATATTGATTGATCTTCAATTTCGATTTTTTATAATCAAATTATTCATCGGACTTCTCGTTATAGATATTCTCAAATATGTAGTTTCCGTTATTGAAGGCAACGGGATATTTCTAATCTATAATAATTTGAGAATCTTATTTTGAAATAGATGATAGGAAATATTATGATCTAGAATATTTTGGATTTTTTATATAGAAATGACGATCTTCTCGTTATATCTATTTGATATAGAATATATATATTGAGATTTCTATTTGGAATCGAGAATATCTGATTTTGGACGAAAGATTGTCTATATTTCGTTATTAATTATCATCTCGTCTTCTTTTTATCGATAGATGATAATAGCTGAAAATTTTCTGATTCATATATAGGATTATTTTGATATTTGATTTGATAATTCCAAAATATGATTCGATATAATGAAATAGATTATTGATTTGATTTCGTCTTGAATGAAATATATTTGATGATAAAGATATTTTCATAAATATCATTTGAATATAATGAGATAAATTTTCATTATTCATAATCTTGATTTTGTAGATATATACGATCTTGAATTGAATAATCTTTTTCTTTCTTATATTTTAGGATAGGATTGGAGGCGATGATCCTATTTTTCAAGATATAAAATAATTATGATATAATATTCTAATAAAAAAATCTACGATAAATTTCAGAATCATATCTAAAATTAGAATATCTTTATAGGAATCATTATATTTGATATCTTCTATATAGACATAAATCAGAAAATCATAAAGACCTAAATTTCAAGATATCTAATCGTTAGAATTATATATTTTAGAATTGATCCGTCGCCTTTAGCAACGGAAAAAATATATTCAAGAAAATCTAGAACGGAAAATCCGATGACCAAATAAAATATAAATTCGTATGCGAAACCCGATACATTATCAAGATTTCAAGATCGCAGATATTATATAGATTCTAGAAGATTTTAGATCTCCGCCTCGGATCTTCACGTTCCGCCGAGCCGTCGCGCAGACAACCAAAGAGAGAGAAATGATTCGAAATCTTGGGAGATTTTTGGTTATATGATCTTTTGATCGTGCGGTCCTCGCATCCAATCCGAATTTTCCGTCTCATTTATCTCTCTTGGGATATCTGCGCGCCGTCTCGGGAACCGCATAAATCTCCGTGAATAGATACGGTCTGCCTATAAATTCTAAAAGATTTTGATTTTCCGTCCAGGATCTAGGCGTTCCTAGCCGCGCCGTTATTCAAAGAAAAATAAATCATATAGAATATATAATCTCGCGCAGCATATTCCACGATCAATCAATATATAAGAAATATATGTGATCAAAAATGAGTAATCTAATAGATTCTAAAAGATTTTAGAGCAACTTTTCGGGGGAACGCATAATCCTCTATAAAGAGATATAGTCACTCTATAAATTCTAAAAGATTTTGGCTCTCCGTCTCGGATCTACGCATTCCTCCGAATAATCGCGCCCACAACTAAAGAGAGACAAATCGCGCGGAATATATAAAATCGCATGAGAATCTCAACGATCAATCAATATATAAGAACCGCAAGTGACCAAAAACGACCAACCTACTCGATTCTAAAAAAATTTTGGATTTCTGCCCAGGATCTATATCGAGCCGCCGCGTAAATAACCAGAGAGAGAAATTCATCGAAATCTCAAAAGATTTCGGGTCGCGCGGGCCCTGAATCCAGCCTGATTTTCCGCCTTATTTAGATTTTTGAACTTACTACGCAGCGACACGCGGCAACGTATATATCCTCGTTCACAGATATAGCCAACCTATGCATGCTAAAAAAATTAATTTTCTGCCTATGAATCTCTCTCTTAAAAAGCCGCATAAGTAGATATAGAAAAATGAATCGCGCAAAAATGCATTCGGGAAGCGGCGCGGCAACGGCCGTACGAGCCAGAATCTTTAGATTTTTTGTTCGCGCCAGAAAATGAGAATAATTTTTTTAGAAGAAATATATCAATAGTAAAATTGAATATACTATAATTGAAATGAAATCTTTAAAATACCTCTATTAATAAAAAAATAAATATATTTTCAGAAAAATTCTAAAAATCTAGGAGCTCTTTATTTTCCTATAGAACTCTAAATTTTCCAAAAATTTAGAGCCATCGAAAAAGAAAATATAGAAAATATTTGAAAATTTAATCGTATCATATGAATCAATTTATTATTATCTAATATATTTCTATATCATATATCCATATATATATAAATAATAGAAATTAATAAATATTTATATTTTAAATTCTAATTTCCAAGAAATGTGTCTTAAATATTAAAATAAATTTCATCCTTTCATGAATTTTGAAAGAATTTCTTTTTTTCCCATATTATATATAATAATCCTCCGCCGATTAGTAATAAAATTTTTATGCGAAAAAATAGAATATTTTTTATCTTCCCAATTTTGATTTATTATGAGATGAGAATCCGAATAAATTTCATTTCTCGTAAGAAGCCTCAATAATCTGCAGGGATAGTTCTAAAAGAATTGAGCATCTATATATTTTTATAAAAACGATTTTTTCGCGCCAATATAATATATTACGAAAGCCAGTAACGAATATTCCCTCCTTCTCTCGCAAAAGAAGAAACGATTAGATCTAAATTTGAATCAATCGAATCTATTCTATCAATCAGGAGAGGTGAGATTCTAGCTAAAGCATGTAATCCGTGATATGTCAAAGTGTATCCGAGAAAATCCTTCTATATAACCGTTGCGAACCTTTCCTATCCTCAATATGAAAGGGACAGCTACAGCACAAAGAAAATTCTGTAGCTTCATAAATAGGATACGTTATGGAATGAATTGCCGAAGATTGAAGCAAACAGCTCTGGTTCTCTCTCTCTTTTCTGCCTTAAAGCCAACTGAAACTAAACCTCCTCAACGGGCCATCAACGCAGAATTGACGTCATGCTCGCTCCACCTGAGAGGTAGGCTTGATGTCCTTCCTCCACCAAGTCAACCCTTGCACTGAACTGAGGGACCAGCCCCAGTTGCTTCGGCATAACCTTTTCTTCCCACCACGAGCTTGAAGCTGACCTGCTACAGGAAAGTTCTCCCTGAAGCAACACAAGAAACCCAAGGGCCGTGCTCTATCTCCTTCCCGGTCACAGCTGGGAGGCAGCCTGGCACTTGACCAGTGAGTTTGTGGAAATGGCTTCCGCAAGGTGCTGGCACAATGGTGCAGAAGCGCGCAAGCAGTGCCGGTTCAGATCCACAAATACATCCCTTCCAAACTCCTTGGTAACGCAGCGGCAGCCAAAATGTGATTTCAACTGTAAACAAACGGTTGTCTCAAGTCGTGGCTGTACCTGCAAACTTGTTGGTAGGGCATGTGTGACAAGTCCTGTTGTCTTGTTTGGTAAGGGAGATCTCTTCTGTGCCAAGCGTCTGCCCGAGTTTCGGGACACCTTGGCTGTAACTCAAAGCAAAACACGCAGAAAGCATCATCGGCCGATCAGAGATTGTTTCGAGCTTGGGTGTCAATAGATAACAATAACTGAACCTCGCTGCAAAGAAAACAACAGCAGGAATGGAGCACTGAACACTGAGCACTGCACGAGATGAATCCGAAGCCGGATCCTTTATTCACCATTCTCATCGTGCCATAGAACCTGCTCGCAATGAACATGCTCGCGATTTCCCGAGCCTTGCGAACTTGCGCCCGCAGGGGGGGGACGAAAGCTTTCAAGCAGGCTGCATACTAGCACGCGCATTTTTCATGAAGCGGCGGAGCGCGAACGGCCTCCGCGTGCCCAAGAACGGCTTCCAACGTGCCCAAAAACCTGCCATCTGGCGTCCCAAACGGCCTCCACGGCACCCGAAACGGCACCACAAAACCGCACATAAACAGACGCCTCGTGACCCCTGTTTTCGAGGCCCGAAAGGAGGCCTCCCCAAAACCCTCCTGGCGT